AGTACCCAGCAGAGAGGAAAGTGTAATATAGTTTTCCAGGTTGCCAAGGTGACACGGTCAGAAATGCTGCCTCTTAGGGAACGTTCTTTCATATGTGGTGGACTTGTAAAAGGGTAAAAGAGTATTGGGAAATGATCCATAATGAATTGTGTTTAAAAGCACTTTCTCAAAAAAACCAGAGTCTTTTCTGTTGGAGATAATTCAAACTGAAATCCCCAGGTGTCAAAAAAGGTTATTATTACTGCGGCCCATGTTCTGTTTAGCCCCAAAATGGAAAACGAGCGAGGGTCCTAACCAAAGAAGTGTGGCAGCTTAAGTTGACAGAATATGCGCAGCTTGCAGACTTAACATAGAGAACAAGAAGAACATAGGTTTAGAGAAGATTGGAAACCATTTATGAAATATATGGGAAATAAACAGTGTACGGCTGAAAATGCTTTATTAAGACAAATTCAACAGTGTAAATAAGTTATGAAGGATGTTATAATGGGAGTGCTGAATGGTATAGTTTCTGTAAAATATGCAGGGATTTATGGTATGTAAAATGAGCCATGGAAAGAGAAGAAGGGTGTTTTAAGGATGTTTAAATGAGTGCTTTAAATTGTAAAACAGAAAATTTAATAATAAATTATATGTGAAAGCAATGATGCTGAAGAAGCCTTGTGTATGCAACGCCCCCTGAGCTTCTCCCTCCCTCTTCCCTCCTCTCCTCCACAAGTGTTACCTGTGTTCACATGTACGTGGGGGTGCGTGCTGGCGGGGCATCGGTGACGAGATCGAGACCCGGCAGGTGACGAGTACGAGCTTTACCGCGTCATCTTCGACATCACCTTCTTCTTCTTTGTCATCGTCATCCTGCTAGCCATCATCCAAGGTAGGTCCCGTCGGGTCATGGTTATTATGTCCCATGGGGGTGTGGGGCGGAGTCTGCGCCAGGGCTCCTGAAGTCTGTCTTCCTACCTTTGTGACTTCCTGTCCACAGGTTTGATCATTGACGCCTTTGGGGAGCTGAGAGACCAGCAGGAGCAGGTGAAGGAGGACATGGAGGTAAGCTGGTTCTCCTCCTTCCTTCTCCTCCATTCCCAGCCATAGGGGTGGGGGGCGACCTGGCGGCTTCAGTCAGAAAAGTATCACAGACGAGTTGTCTATCAGGGAGGCTCCCTGGCCCGTTGACCAGGTATGTTGTGGGGAGGGACTGGGGAATCCACGCCAAACAGCCATGACAAAAATAACCTTTACATAAGTACAGTGGTACCTCGGCTTACATACGCTTCAGGTTACATACGCTTCAGGTTACAGAGTCCGCTAACCCAGAAATAATACCTCGGGTTAAGAACTTTGCTTCAGGATAAGAACAGAAATCGTGCTCCGGCAGCGCAGTGGCAGCAGGAGGCCCCATTAGCTAAAGTGGTGCTTCAGGGTAAGAACAGTTTCAGGTTAAGAACAGACCTCCGGAACGAATTAAGTACTTAACCCGAGGTACCACTGTATATAAACTGCATATATCTCCAAAGGTAAAATGCCTTTTCTTTTTAGCAAAAGGTGAAAAGGAGGGGCGTGAGGCATCCCCTGGGAGGGAACACAGACATGGTCAACTCTGGGGAGTCCTGATAATCTTCACACTGCGGGAGGGAGGGGTTTGATGCATGGAAACATAGAAGGACAGCTCAGCTGTTTAGAGCAGGGGTCAGCAACCTTTTTAAGCCATGGGCTGGTCCACCGTCCCTCAGACCTTGTGGGGGGCCGGACTATATTTTGAAAAATAATAATGAACGAATTCCTGTGCCCCACAAATAACCCAGAGATGCATTTTAAATAAAAGCACACATTCTACTCGTGTAAAAACACCAGGCAAGCCCCACAAATAACTCAGAGATGCATTTTAAATAAAAGAACAAATTCTACTCATGTAAAAAACACGCTGATCGTCCGCGGGCTGGATTTAGAAGGCGATTGGGCTAGATCCGGCCCCCGGGCCTTAGTTTGCCTACCCATGAGTTAGAGCAGGAATGTCCAACAGGTGGATCGCAATCTATTGGTAGATCCCCACGAGGTTTTGGTAGATTGCGGTCGATATCTGGCTCTCTTTACTTAGCGTGGCTAAAACTGACTCCTGCCCCTCACCCCGCCCTGTTCTATGATTTCTGGAAGGGAAGACAGAGCTGTGAGTGACTTTACCCCTTTGTCCCTTGCCTTTGTTCCCCAAAAATGGAACTTCCTCCCCCCAAAAAGCTTTTTTTTTACTCCTAAAAAATGGGGCTATTCTCCTCCTTAAAAAAAACTCAACAACTTTGAGCTGAACCCCCAAAAAACTGGGACAGACCACTGCCAGTTTTTAATTCTGAAAGTAGATCGCAGTCTCTTGAGAGTTGGCTGATAGCACCAAGGTCACAGGTTTGATTCCCCGTAAGGGACAGTTGCACATTCCTGGAGTGCAGGGTGTTGGGTTACAGGATCCTCAGGATCCCTTCCAACTCTCGGATTCTGTGATTCTGTGGCTGCAGTTGGGGTTGGGGTTGGCTTGACCCATTGTGGAGAGACAGGACCCTAGACAGGACCCTAGCTCCCTCTTCGCCTTCACTGTCTTCTCACTCTGTTGCTTCCATCCTGGCAGACCAAATGTTTCATCTGTGGAATCGGCAGCGACTATTTTGACACGACGCCGCACGGCTTTGAGACCCACACGCTGGAGGAGCACAACTTGGCAAATTACATGTGAGCAGCTGGCTGGGGAAGCGGGGATGTTCAGGGGATTCCAACCAAACTGGAAGTGGGAGGGGAAATTCTCTTCACTGTTCACTGA